GGTTTTTTTTTTTTTTTTTTTTTGAGGAGGTGGGGGGGGAGCAGGGCGGAACAAGTACTTGGTCAAACCTATGATTGTCTCCTAGGTTAAATATAGTCATTTTCATCAGAAGACCGACACAATTGAAATCGAGCCAAATGTGAATATTAGAAACTTGGAAAATGAAGATTCTCACCTCAGATAGCAGCATCCACCTCTTTCTTTTGCCAAACCAAAGTCAATGAACATAGCCTGTGCAACAGGTCATAAGATGAGGACAAGAACAATGAGCCTCATAAATTATGATGGCCCAAAGTGTTTCAAAAGGAAGATGACACCTACCTTTGCATGACCTATATGCAGATATCCATTTGGTTCTGGTGGAAATCGTGTATAAACTTTTTTTCCAGTTGCATTTAAATGTTTTTCAAGTGTTTCCTTTGAATTGCAAGCTCTCAACACAGACTGGTCACTAAAATATATCTCCGTATGCACCTGAGGATCAACAATATCGTTATAGATCTTAAGATCATAACAAATCATCAAGGCAGTTCAAAGATTCAACATTGATCTTAAATACAATGAACTTTCCATTCAAAATTTTGAAAAGAACGCATAAGACAATAGTGACGCATAGAAAATCATATAGAAACGTCTGGCTAACTAATTTCCTCGAAGACATTCGAATTTTTAGCAACGAAATCACTAATGCAATTTTCTACACTTATACCAGCAAGAAGTAAACCATTATACTACTGTTGCATAAGTTCTTTTGGCGATAATGGAAAAAAGGAAAGTCTAAATTTGAAGTAACAAACAGGTCCACCAATCAAGATATATTCATCTTGATAATCTTGTCTAGCTTAAATTTTTTATATTTTTGAAAAAGGAGAGTCATCAAAACTACGCACCCTAAGAAAAAGCTACAAGCAACCCCTAAATATGTGCAACCACCCTCAAACCACGCATATCGGGTAAACCATATCTTGTAAGAGTTGCACTTGGAACCTCAAGTCAGTAGCCCCTAAAATATTTCCATCCAAGCTATCCCAACAAGATGGCATTATGTTATATCTACCACAATTTTTTTCAAGACTCATGCATACTAAAAGGGTTAAAAAATACACACTGTAGTTAATGTAAATGTAATAGATCAATATTAGAATCAAAAATAATAAATAGTAGAATAAAAAAGGACTGTGAAATGAATCAATCAAATACCTTAAAATTTTCCTCTGGAGAAGGGAATATTAAAAAAGGATTAAGTTCTTCTTCAGATGGTTGTAGCGGGGGAGTGTCTTCAGAAGTAGCTTTGTCCTACGGAAGTGCAAATATAAGCAAAGGTAAGAGGAAAAAGATTATCCATCTTCTAAGAAATATGTCCAGCAACAGTGAATAGCCAGGCAGCTTTGCTCACCTCTATTTTCACAGGCTTCTCTTTCTTCTTTTTCACAGGTTTCTCATCATCTGCAGCAGTTCTTTCACCAAGTAATGCATACAATTTGCCATCTATGAGTTGCTGTTACAGATGGTATCATAAGCAGAAAACAAGAGTGAAAGAATAGTTAAAATAAGTTTATAAGCATGTTCTTTAATAAAAAAAACTCAATTGGAACTCTTGATTTTATTTGCTAATGAAGAGAGAGAAAGGAGGGGAGTAAAATATTACCTTGACAATCTTTGGATCAGCCCATGGCTGCCTCTTTCGGACATGAGCAAACAGTTCACCAACTAGAGAAGAAAATAAAAATGATCAAAAAGTGTTGATCAGAGATAAAACATGGCCTTACAAGGCGAATGCTACAATCAAGTTCGCCTTAACATTTTACTTCGGATCTCCACCTCAACTAGAAATCAAGCCCAAGCTTGCTGTAAAACTTACCAATGTGTCATAAGAGTATATGCAAGACCATCCAATTATCTTATGAAGGCATTATTATAAAAACCATCTTTTTTTGGTTTTTTTGACTGGTCGTAAAAGCCATCTGATTCTAAGCCCTACAGCAAGCCCATGGGTGGATGAGTGGGGGATTCTTATTTAACATAATAGCTACCACTTTCTTGTCCTGTGTGACACAATACTAAATGCAAGTTCACTCAAAAAATCGTCAAGCCTTTGTTATTAATTGTAGCTAAAGCTATACTCAGTCTTCAGAGCCAGCATCCTAGAGTGAGATGCACGTATTGCTTAGAGTCTTAGACTTAAGCAGCCACTTGTCTGATAGAAAACATGTTGGTAAATGTTCAGCATTTCTGCATGTCTGTCTACTATCGAAATTTTTTGTTGTCAATGATCTCTTTAACCCACATTTTAAACCCATTTACCCACTAAAATATCCAACATTAAAGATATACTTCAATAATATCTTTCCTAATTCCCCACCTCCTTTTTCTCTTTTCAAGTCAGAATTGAGATCTATTGCTATAATATCAATCATGAGCAGTGTGCAAATCTTGTTTATACTATGATAACATCCCAGAGCGAATATATATATGATATGAAGGAAAACAATCCCTAACCATTTGTACGATAGCGCTGCTCCAAAATTGTATTCTTGTTCTCCTCAAATATCTCATTGATAGTGCCTTCTATTTCTTCTACAGAGACCTCAACTCCTGTTTGCAAAGGGAGAGTTCAGCATCAACCAGATGAATAAAGCAATCTTCATTCAAGCAAATTTAAGTGAAGCAATGAGTCTCAAGTCATACTTAACTCACAAACCATTTCTATAAATAGCCAAAAAAGTATCACATAACAATTTTGAAATTAGTATCAGCCTGATCACGTAATTCCCTATAATCTCCAAGATAAAATGAAAGAAAAAGTGTCGCTCTGCAACAACTCCCGGTACCAAGACAACAGTATAATTTAAAGAAACTGCAAAATGCTAAGATGAATAATTTTAGTTAACTGTACCAATTCTCAACAGATACATTTCCCATACACAAAAAGCAAGCTTCCACATTCCACGTAGAAAGCAAGTCAAAACATGGTATGCCCTCCTTTATACCCACTTCGAAGTACAGATATTCACACCTGGATTGTTTTCCCTACTGCTTTTCCGTCCTACAATTTTTGTGGCTATTCTTTTCGTACAACTGTACAGATACCAAAGAAACGGGTATATTGGTTTTTTTATCAAAAGTCTCCAGCACAAAGAATGTCAAGAGCACAAAGTGCCACATCATTGCAAAACAGGCACAATCATCCAGGTAAAACAGTAAGTACAGGGATCATAGAACAATGAGCACAATCAAAAAAAAATGAAATTTGGTTCATACACACACAACACAGAGGAAAAAAGAAACGGAGGAAGAGAGAGAGTTAAGGAGGAAAAGAAAACAAAAAGACAATGAATTATAATTCTAAATTTTAACTTTGCTAATTCACCAAACTTATGCTAATTTTCAGTGAAAGTCACGGGGAGGAGTTTTATAATACCAACGCCACAAGCATCTTCAAATTCTGGGATATTCAAACTTTCGGAAGCAGTAGCTGCAAGAAATGAAAATGCAGCTTCTAACTGCGCTGGAGTTTTAATCTGCAAGAGCAAAAATATTATGTACAAGTAGACCACCAAAATGGGTTTTAAGTCAATAATTCAGATCTCACACCATGTTACAATCATTAACTACATACAGTTATCTAATTATCTATAGAGTATAGTCCCTATTAGAAAAAACAGAATTCAGAGGGATAGAATCCCCAAACCTTTGTCAAGACAATATATTTCAGCAATGCAGGGCGATGCACAAGGGCATTTGTGGGGAACTTTGTAGCAACCTGTGATGTAAAGGGAATGTACCAGTTTCATGTTAATTTAATATCTGAAGCATATATATTAAATACAAAAATATAAACGAAAATAAATATTAGTATCACAAAAAATATCCCAATAATGTGACCACTAAAGGAAAAAGCCTCGAGCACAAATCTTTCCTGATTGAACTCAATTTTAGGTTACTTAAATTTTTTTTTTTTTTTCAGTAAAACAGGCAAATCTAAAATGTGTAATTCTGAATTTGCTTACTGTGTAAAGAAGATTTCCAACAGTGCGTTCACACCCATCAACTACAGCTGCCTGAAAACAAAATAAACAAGAACAGATATATTAGAGTGAGATATGAAGGCCTATCTCCTTATAAAGATACACAGCCACGTTAAGAGAAATCCGCCAATTGGATCCAAAATTAACAATAGCATATCACAACCATCAAATACAACATCGAAGAGAACCAATACATTTGGCTGGTCGCGAAAAATCAAACATTGACATGAATTTCTCTCTTTTAGGCAATTTTTACCCAAAAAAAAACTTAAGTACCAATCCTCAATTCTTCAGAAGTCCTGATTGGATTAAGTTCAGTATCGCTAAGTGACTAACAACATAGTTACCAATCCTCAATTCTTCTTCTATTCTCGAAGTCTTTATACAACCCTTCAATTTTACCGGGGAAAAACAAAGGACAAGTAAAATTACTGGGTCACTTACCTAATTAACATTCAATGTTTCCTTAGACACATGCATGGATATATGATTGAATTCAAAAATTCCTTGTCGAGAATGTATACCAAAAGTAAAACTCCTAGATTCACAGACACCATCACAGCATTGTAGCTCAGTTCGCCTGGGTTTTCCTATTATAAATTTTCTCTTTCCTCGTTCTTTCTTTGCTACAAAACTGATTCAAAACGAATTGCGTGTTCGTGTCTCTGATTGCATGTGGTGATAGAGTCAAATAAAAATAGTACTACCTCGTGAATGACGGCGGTAAGACTGGTTGTGACCTTATTGTTGGCGAGGGTGTTCTTGGCAGTTCTTTCATCTAAACCGATCTTCAGGAACAGGTCCAGAGGCTGGTTCTCGCTGTTGCTCTCGTCCTTTACCACCATTTTCACACAAAACCAACCCTAGGGTTTTGGCGTCCGAATTGAAGTAAATACTTCGATTTCGGTATAAACCCAAGTGAAGAAGAAGACGAAGAAGAAACCTTGGGGTTGGGGCTGCGTTAGGGAAAGGTTCTGTGGTGTCTGTGATGGAGAGATTCTTAGTAACGGAAAGAGATTCTTTTTAGGACATGGTCTTGCGTAGAAATGAAGAGAGGGTCAAATTTGGAAACTTATTTCTGAGATATTTTATTTTGCACTTTTTTTTGGGGGTCACAAGAAAAGAGAATGGGATTTTTATTTTGCTGGATTGTGATTGGCCCGACCCAACAGACATGTCAAAGGAACCAATTGAACCGAGTTAATACGTTAATATCACGTCATCATTTACACATTATATTATAAATTAATAATAAAATATTAAATAAAATTAAAAGTAAATATTCAACATAATAGAGAATCATGTCGACAATAATACGTGGTATTATCAATCAATCTATATAATAAATCAATTAAATTTTTAAATTTATGAGCGTATATTTTTCTCCCTAAATTTTACAAACTCAACACATACACTTCACAACACATAGCTCACACACACACATTATATACAAACTCTATACACGCACAATATCATATCTATCCGTACAGTGGTTTTAGTCACGAAATATCGCTAATAATTATATATCATTTGTGTTATGAATACCACGATTTTAATATGTTTCAATAACCACCACGTTAAACAATCAACATCTTGACATTATAAGGTTTACTTATCCTACATTTTATATTATTATTAGTTAGTGAAACTACAAATCACTAATAATATGATTTTACCGTTATATTTAATATTTACCTATAGGGTTGGTGAATCTCACTATTTCAATATGGTAGCTATTAAATGGGTGGTTATTAGTAATTATTAAAAAGTGTGATCCACTAACTTTACATGATATTCTATAATTTGTTTGTGACATCGATTTTTTTTTTTTGTTACAGGGTGTTTAGTCTTGCACCGATTATTCCTTTGAACTCAACAATTGTCACCATACCTTGAGTTGGATTAGAGGATGTTCCTAAGGAACAAGATTAGCGAATCCTTAAAGGGTGTGATAAGTGATTGAATTTAAAATTTTTGAATAATCAAAAATCAAGTTTAACCACTAAGCCATCGTGAAGAGTTGAGAGTTAAGTGATAATGACGTGATGTAGCCGTTTGCAACAAATGTTTTGTCCAACTTTTAGAGGCTGCAGGCAATAGGCATGCTGTGGGAGTGGGTCACTCGGCCATAAACTGAACCCCTTTTCAATAAGGTATTTCCCAATTCCGCCCATAATAATGGGTGCCCCAATATTGAGACCGGCCTCTAATTACCTGTCCAAGGGTTCGAGTCCTCCCAATCCTTATGGCATAGCAGTTAATAGTAATACCATCGAGTCTGGGCCTAAGTTTTCCCAAGTCCTCTTGGTGGAGGTTAGGTTGTAATCTATTGGTTTCAAATTCTGGATATAAAAAGAAAGTTGGAGACCGGAGAAACTTGGGAAATCGATCATGTGATGGTTAAGTTAGAAAAAAAAAAAAAAGATTTGAGGGAATTGATGCTTCTTAAAACTAAAGAATTGTGTTTTCTTATTTGATGTCCCATCAATTTGGTTGATATGGAATGAGGATCGAGCTTAGTGGGATAAGGATCATGTTTCACAAGAAAATTCAATGCCAATCTAACATACTATTTTCATTGATATAAAATTCTTTAAATACAAGATCATAAAAGTCACTTTAATAACTAATCTAAAGCGTGACTCTAATATGAAATTAATCACTTAAAACACCCTCAAATAACAAATTATTAACCCACTACCACATAATCTCTTATTAACTAAATAATAATTATCCGTGCCTGAAATCACAGAATAACAAAAAAAAAATTAATAATAAGAAAAATGACCGTCAACATACACTTTCTTATTCAAATAACACTATTAGCACTTTTTTGGATGCTTAATTCTCTCTTTGTACATTGTACATGGATTTTTTTTTTAATTACAATGCAAACTTATTAAAATTATTACTTTATCCACCCATTTTCGTAGTTTCAAACTTCTTAGCCTCAAGCTTTTCTAAGAATGGTCCATGAATTGTGACGGATAAGGTTTTATGAAATGGGGCACATTATGCCTACTCGCCTGGTAAAGGATTATTGCACTTGTACTAGGCCCCATTTATATTGGGTCCCCCTGAATAAATAATCATTACTAATATTTATACCCTATAACTCTTATATCTGCCACACTTTTACGATGTCGTGCTAAAATTAAACACACGGGTAATCGTGTACAAGACCGATAATATCTTATTATTTTATATGAAGTTTAGAACAAATACGAAATTTTGATGCCAAAATTATCTCTATTTCTACCCGTTTTGAGATTTTCAAACTTCTTAACATAAAGTTTTTCTAGCTTGATACTTGTAATGAAACGAGGCACACAATTCGTATCAGAATATGGTAAATTTAAAATTAAATAATTAAATTACGACATTTATTTATTGAAGTATGATATTTTTTTCAAAAAATGGGGTCAACAACCCTCATTTTTATCAAAAATGGAGTCAACAACCTTTTTTTTAATAAAAATGAGATCAACAATCCCCTTTTTGAAAAATATCATACTTTAATCAATAAATTTAAAAATATTATAATTTAATAGTTTTATTTCAAAATTATCGTATTTTGATACATAATTCCATAATTCACTAGGTAAAAGAATAGCTAGGGGTGTTCATAGTTTGGGTTGACCCTACGGGTCTTATTACCTAACCCAAAAAAATAGGTTTGAAATCTGATAGTCTCCATAATTGGCTAGTTTGAGCTCGAGCTTAGTATCTTTCAAGAGAAGGCTTGAACTTGTTCTCAAATTCATTACCTGCCCCATGAGCCCACCCATAAGACCCTTTAAAACTCGGTCGAAGAATCTGTCTGCTTATTCCAACCAGCCCAATTCTTTGGAAAAAAAATTACCAGTGGAAGTTTGTTGGCAATATATGACTCTATTTTATTATAAAAATATATATTCATTACTTTTTATCTATTTTGACTCTATTTTTAATTTAAAAATATAATTTATAAAAGTATTATGTTGAAATTTTTTTAAATGAAATTTTATATATATATAAAAGTTGGCCTAACAAGTTCGTGTGTCAATGAGTGACAATTTGTGCTACAAATAATTTACCCTTACCTAAAGTCTGACTCGGCTTGTCCGATAACTAATTCGAATAAAACTTGTAATTATCCTACTCAACGCAATCGAAAATAAATTTTGCGAGGTTATCTCGGTCCGGGCCATTGGCAACCCTAGCAATATTGCACATGCAATTGCAACTGTTTACTTTTAATAATTCTCTGTCCAAGTGTAATGAATTCTTTCCTTGTGGGAGATGCCAAATGTGTCCTTTGGGACATTGTGATTTGAGTGGGTGAAGTAACATGTTATGCTGGGAAGGAATGTTCAAAGCCAGCTAGGCCAACGACAGGACCTCTCTACTTCCCTTTCTCCTCCACGTGGGATCCATCTTCCTAACCCAAGATTTTTTTAAAAATCAATAATCATGTATGTATAAATATTTATCAAATTTACTTATCAAAAAATCAGAATAATTGGATCAGTAAATCCCATTAAAAAAATTAATGAAATTTACCCATTCAACAATTTATGTTGATTTGAGAAACAAGTTGATGGCCATCAATAAGAATGAAGACAATTTCACTTGGGTGAAAAATGTTACTGAAGATGAAATTTCACCCCTAATTTAACTAAAGAGTAAAATTATACAAACAGTTTTTAAATTATGATATTTATGTTAATTAAGTCCCTGAATTTATTTTTGTGTCCATTGAGCCCCTAAATTCTAAAATTTTAACAATTAAACCCTTTAATCATCAATTGTTAGGTTTTTAAACGAAATGTCTCACATGTATACTACATGGACAATAAATTAAGAGTATTTTAGACTGTTCATTCGAAAATTATTAAATCAATTAAAACCCTAAACCTAAATCTCTTTCATGGCCATCAAACGAAACAAATCAGCAAGCTCTTCGAAGAGCCTACATTTATGTAATTTGTTTTTTACATTAAATCAAAGAGTTTGCTGATCTCTTTCATTTGATGTGTATAAAAAAGGTTTAGGGTTTGGGTTGATGGGTATAAGGAATGAGGTTCTTCATCTGATAGATTTAAAATGAATAGTCTAAAACACCTCTAATTTGTTGTCCATGTGGTGAACACGTGAGACATTTCGTCAAAAAACTTAACAATTGCAAATAAAAAAGCTTAACTACTAAAATTTTAGAGTTTAAGAGTTCAATTGAAACAAAAATTAGTTCAAAAACTTAATGAACACAAAGATTATAATTTAAGGATCATTTACGTAGTTTACGCTTGAGTAAGATTTGAATCTGGAATAAGTTTACAAGGAAGACTTGTGCAAGTAACTTTGCCAAGCACAATCTCACTTTATTTAATAGGACTTAAAAGAGATGGTGGCACCCTGCTAATTGTCTAAACTTAATTCCATGTGATGAAGGTAGGCACTCAAAAAGAAAGCATAGGATGTTTTTTTTTTTTTTTTTGTAGTTGGTAAGTCATTAGCACTTTACAATAACAATTTGAGCAGGTGCAATTATGTGTTCTTCTAGACATTAAAAGAATTTTCAGACTGAGTTGCTTGTCTGTTAGAGCTTAGCTTGATTTTCTTAAAAGATGCAAAAGAGAGCTACCATTTTCGTCATCTTAATCAAGTTCAATTGTTTATTGTACTTGAAACGAGCGTGCTTAAACAATAATTTTTTTCTTTCAGGGTTTAGTTTTTTAAGTTGAGAAACAGACGAATTATCATTGTTATGACCCTTTTTCTTGTCGAAATTTATTAGATTGGATTATCAGGTTTTTATGGGCTTTATTGACAACCCAATAAGAACCCTGTCAATTTATTTATTTATTTTTTGTAATAAGAAATGATAAGGATTATATTAAAGAGTTCTCTTTGTTTAAGTCAAGGTCAATCTTGAATTTATCGTATTTAGATTATCTGGTCTTTATGGGTCTTTTTGACAGCCCAATAAGAATCCAATCAATTGACCTTTTTTGTTTATAAGAAATGATGATGAGTATATTAAGAGTTTTTACTGACCTAATCACTGTCATTGTAATTGGATTAATAGTAAGTTCTAGTGTTCTTTGGAACCTGCTATTAATTCAGTGATTATCAAATCTAGTCTTCGTTAGAACTGTTAAACGATCCAAATAATTCAGACTCGACCCCATTTTAGTTTAGTTTAGGCTTAATCATATTATAAAATGAACCGAATCTAAATAAATTTTTAGATTTGTTTAGTATTCTAGTTGAGCCCAAGCTATTTGCGAGTCAGCTATTTTTTTTATATGTATATAATGTACATATAAATTATTACATATCTTAAAGTTATTTTAGTAAAATTAGCAAAAAATTTTAAGTTTGTATATTTTTGTTGTGATTTAGAGGTATTTCATGCTCAAATTTGTGTTAATATTTATATTTGTGTGCATTTTGATGAATTATTTTGATTGGGTATTTAAAATTAGTAGATTTTAAATTTTTTTGAATGTCTTATTTTTTACTCAAGTTTAGCTTGAATTTTATATAAGCTAAATTTAAACAATATTTTGAACTCCATAGACAATAACCGAGCCCGAACTAGGCCTAAGCAATCTTTAAATAGCACGAATTGAGCCCAAACTTGATCCAGCCTAAGCATAGCCAACGTCACAAAGCTTGGCTGGTCACCCTCCTCTTTAATACTGTCCGACAAGAAAGAAAAATTCTAACAACTTGCCTTTCAAAAACCAGTAAAATTCTTCACGGTAAGTCTCTCTCTCTCTCTCTCTCTCTCTCTCATTTCCAAAAGCAAAAGTTTCTCAGGAAACCCCTCTGTAGAAGATCCTTCCCTAGCCTTTCGGTGCCAAAATTCAATCACTTTCACTTTCACTACCCCTTTTTCCTTCTTTTTCTGATTACTTGGCATAATGTAAAATCTCAAAGGGTAATACTATTGGACCTAATTCATTATAATTTTTAGAATGATTATGAATTCTATCAAATATTGAAATCTAGTATTAATTCAATGATTTTATTAAAGTCACATTATTAAGTTAAATTTTTATATCTAAATAATATTACTCAATTTCAAATATTACTCCACTCGCAGTGAAGTATACCTCGTCTTAACTCTAAAAAGTAATTCAAGGAATAATAAGAACAAATTGTAAACTCAGATGTTCGGAGTTTGAATCTTAGTAATCCATTAGAGTCAAGATATTTATTTTTCATAGATACCTTAATTTTGACATCGATAACTTACTTTTAACCGAAACGAGAAGGACATTAATTAATTGAATTGTACGGATCCCTCTAACCGTGGGAGTAAAAAAAAAACTATACCCTCTCTCACAAGCATCCTCTGATACCTGACCACCCCATTATTGGATTCTTTCAAGCACCCTCGGCTCACCATAAAAAAAAGCAACAGATGGGTCTTATTCCCACAGCTCAATTCTCTCTCTCTCTCTCTCTCTCTCTCTCTCTCTTGCCATCTATGAACTCCAAAACTAAATGAGCTACCTGGGCTTTCTCCATTTTTGTGTCACCAGACCTATAAATTCTGTCATCTAAAACAGTTTGCTAAAATCTTCAGACATTGGAAAGGATGGCAGTTGATGTGTACTCTGAAATCCCAAGTTTAGTAGTGAGTCCAAGAATCTCATTTTCTCATGATCTCAGGGAAGCAGAAATTGTTCCTGTTGAATGTCACCACCACAGATCAGATGCATTTCTCTTGGACTCCCCCATCGATTTCGATTTCTGCATTGGCCAAACCTTCAAGGAAGAACTCTCACCAGCTGATGAGCTCTTTGCCAATGGCAAAATCCTTCCCATTGAATTCAAGAAAATAGTGCCAGACACTGAACGTACATCTCACTCTTCTCAAACCCGACAATGCTGGCAGTCTCGTGGACTGGGCCGCTCAGTGTCTGAAGTCACTAAGTTTGTGCCCACCAAAGAAATCACCAAGTCTGAGGCAGTTTTTGTGCATCCTCAGACAAACAAACCTTCAACTACAGCAACTGAGAGTGCAAATGAGGATACAAAGAAGAAGATGCTGAAAGAGTTTTTATCCAGCAGTTCTGAGGCAGAAGAAGAGAAGCCATCATCAAAATGTACAAAACCCTTCTGGCAATTTGGACGAAGCAGTAGCCTAAATTGCGATAATTCACATAACAAAGGCTTATTTCCTTCATTACAGATCCTACTGAGAAGCAATTCAACTGGTTCTGCTCCAAATTCAGGTCCACGATTGCTTCGCAAGGTGAGTCAGAAGCAGAATTTACAGAAACAACAATCAATCCCAAGCTCAAAAGCTTCCTTATCATCCACTAATGTGCATTGTTCTTATAATCCATCAAAGAGACCTCCACTGCAGAAGAATTGCAGATCTTACAGCAATGGAGTTCGGATTAGTCCTGTTCTAAATATCCCACCAACTTACATTTCTGTAAACCTGTTTGGATTTGGCTCGTTTTTCTGTAATGGCAAGTCCAGAAAGAAGAAGAAATGATTCATTTATTTATTTTTTTCTGCCATGATATTTTTTCAGTACAGATCTCATGGCTAATGTAGCTGGTATAGTACTGTTGTTAATGAATGTTTATGTGATCAAGTTCTATTGGACAGTAAAAAGAGTTTAATCTATGACTTAGAAGGTTACATGGATTAAATCATTACCAGTGGGAATTATGCAAAGATGGAATTCTATGATAAAACACTAAAGCTAACCGTGATAATACATCATCATTAACATATGATGTATTCGGATCAGTTTACCCGTATCTTGACTAGATTTTCATGAAAGATAAATCTCTCATGGTCTAGTCCAAAAAGATTTGACAAGATTCAAACTCAAGATGTCTGGGTTTTTTAGTTCGTCTCTATTATCATTTGAGGTACATTGAGATTGAATTAGTGAGATTTTTTAATTCTATGTATTTGTTTGTAATTATTTAATGATGACCCGTGTCTATAATAACGTGGTATATTAAACATTTACTCGAATAATGGAGGGGGTTGATTGGTTGTGATGGTGATCAACAATTTTGATGTATATCAACATGTGAATTGGCTTAGGGGACAGGAGAACAAGGCATCCTCTTTTCATGGCCTTCCCATGCTTTGATTTCTTTTTCTCTTTTGATTTCTTTGTCCACATGATAATTACATGTATGGGGCTGTCTTTTTGTTCTTTTGAAGAGAGATGTTTCTTTTTGGTCTTTCTCTGTCTAGATAATATTAGTTACTTGATACTTTTCCTTTCTTTTTCTTTTTCTTTTTCTTTTTTTTTTTTCCAATGACAAGAATTGGATCTAAGGAATGGTTTAAGAAATAAATCAATGATTGAGGACCCTTAGTTGTAAAACTAGAATTGGATCTAAGGAATGGTTTAAGAAATATATCAATGATTGAGGGCCCTTAGTTTTTATTTTTTTTTGTTCAACGATCATGGATGTCTGAACCAACTTATATGCACCTCAACTAATTTTTTTTTTGGTCTGGTCTAAAATAGGTCATCCACGTACGGAACTAATATATTCATGAGGGATAAATCTCTCTTGACCTTAAGGAGTTGCCAATATTCGAATTTAAGATGTCTGAATTTATAATTTATTTTTGTTACCATTTAAGTTATTTCTTGAGGTTGAGGGCCCTTAGTTGTAAGACGCGGCAAAGGACTCATGATGGTCCATGGACCAGACTAAGTCTGATTGCCTAATGGGTCATAAGTTGGTCAGATCACCCGGTACACTAGTTGGTCGGAAAAACATCACAGCTTGGCCCATCGGCCAGTCAAATGGGCTGCAGGAATTAAAAAAATTTAAAATTGGGTGGGCTTAATATTGAGTTAGTTCCTTGATTTTGGATCTAAGGTAATGAAGTTTGGTCTTGGTCCAAGCCTCCAAGCTGTAAGTAGTTGTTGAAGTAACCCTAAAAGGTAGTCGGTGGAGACCGAGATAAATTGTAAATCCAAATTTCTTGAATTTAAAATTTAGCAACTCTTGTGAGATTATGACACAAGAGATTTATTTTTTATTAAATTTTTTATTTTAAAATAGATGATTTGCTTTTTACTGGATCGAAAAAATGAATGATAATGGGTCAAAAAAGGAGACTTGATATAGTGGGTCCCAATAAATCTAGTTTATTGGGACTTATAGTAAAATTAATAGTTGTGATTATCAAGTCTACTTTTTAAGTTCATGTAATATTACGCTAATAGATCATCTTAACCAATGAGTCTTTGGTTCAATGGTACTTCTTACCTTGTAAAAATTTTGTTTTCTTGAGATCAAGGGTTCAAGTCCCCTTCCCAAAAAAAAAAATGGGTCACCTTATTTTTTTTAAAAAAAAATAAAAGAAAAATATACCCATCATTTAGCTAGATCTTGGGTGGATGACATTGGCATCCATTAAAGAGCTGGTTGGCCTATCAATGAATTAGATTTTGATTCAAATTTAATTAGTCGGATATATATATATATATAGTATTTTTAATTGATAAGTTTGAATATTTTATATCATGATTAACATATTCAAATGGATTATATTAATGTTGAATGTGACAACTCGCATTAAAAATTAATCGCTAACATGTAATTTAAGAAGTTAATTATGATCTTATATAGTTAATGATCATTTTTAAAAATTTCAAATAAACAAATGAACCTCAAATATAATTTTTTTTTATGTGAAAACAAGTCAAATAAGTATAATATATGTCATATTTTGTATTAAAAATAAAATATTTAATACATTATATATAAAATATATAGATACATATATAAGACATGTGGTCTATTAGAATTAAAAAAAAAAAAAGCAGCCATGGAGAATGGACATTTGTTTTTCGAATCAAATCAAATTTCAAATAATTGACATATTCAAAAATAAACAAAAAAAAAAAAAATCAACGAGTGGAATGATCCAGTGGGGTATTGACTGAACTTATCACCTTGAGGCTAAAAATTCAAGTTTTAGAGTCCACATTAAGATTGAGAAGAGCAACGAATGCAATTAAAAATCTCATGATTTTACTGGTTAAGAATTATCGGAATAGTCTCTGATCGCTTTATTTACACTCACCCTTTTTTCACAAACAAATATATATATATATATATAATAAAAATAAAAATTGAGGGATAATCGTATTGAATTCGCAACGGGGGGTTTTAAAATGGAGTGGCAATCAGCAGCAGCCCCGGTCAGCCTCCAAGTAAAGAGAAAGACCATGTCTAAGTCCAAGCAATTTGGTAAGGTAGCATATATGGCACGCGTAGTCGTCAACATGCTGAGTCAATTGGCGACCTTACTTCTAACGTGTCTATTTTCTCTGTTTTTTTTTTTTTTTTTAAAAATACGTAATCAAGTCATATTATCTTTTGAGGTGTTTTTTATTTGTGTAATCTTAGGTGGATTTAAAAATTAAATTTAAAAATTAGACTTAATAATCTCAACCATTGAATAGGTAGTGAGTCTCAATAAATACTAGGACCCACAGTGAAATCAATGATTGTAATTATCAAATCTAATTTTTAAATCCATCTAACATTTCTCTTTTACCTTACTATTTTTCCCATCCCCAAATGATAATTAAAAAAACTTCTAACTTTACAGATGATTTGAAAGTCAAACTAATGAAGCCCTAGAGCAAGAGAGAGAGTTTCCCTCCAATTTCCAGCCTTTTCTAACGGTCGAGAAATGAACACCTTAGGATGCAAATATAAAGGCAATATAGCATTTGTTAATTAAAAACAGTGGTGAAAACGATTGTGTATTAAAAATAAAAATAATAGATTTAAAAATATATATATTTCTAAAACCGTAAATATAACACTAATATGGAATACATTACATAGAAGTCAAGTTTGGTAATTTGTACATGTTTATAGAAGATCTAATGCGTGTTTTTTTTATACATAAAATGGATATGCAGATAAATCACTTCACATATCCGTTAGGAAGCATTGTCTTTTAACACCACAACTATTTAAAAGGGACCTTATTGCACCTACATCGAGGCCGAAACTAATGTCTCACCCTATGCTCTGAATGCTGAAAAATAAGTTTAGTCCTAACGAACGATGTAACTATAGAGACTCAAACCCAAACATTAAGCAATAAAAGTCGAATTTTTATCCACTAGGTCAACAGCTCATTGGTTCAGGACCTAGTATTGCACCAATAAGGAATAGTAATTTGATTCACACCTATGATAATGCAAAAAATACAAATAGACCGAAACTAACTATGAATGAGACAATATAAAACGGATACCATAACTTATGATTTAGGTGAATATATATCTAATGATAAAGTACAATGGAAGCACACTAATAATTTAGATAGACTATCTCACAACTTTATATAACGATATGCCAAAATAATACTCTCTTCGTTCCTAAATTTTTGTCATTTTATAAATTTTTTTTTGTTTTATAATGTCTGTCGTTTAATAAAACCAAAACATAATTAATATTTTTTCTTTCAAATTTACCCTTAACTTTTCAATGCATTAGATTAGGTGGAGGCTAAGTATTTTTCATATTCATTTCCTTCCCAATACGTATTGAATAAGAATATTTTAGTTTTGTGTAATTATTTTTTACTCATATTAGAGTTATTTAATAACTTTCTTAATTTCTGTGCAAAAATTTTAAACGATGAATATTTAAGAACGGAAGGAATAATACCAAAAAAATCAGTACCTGCAACAATTTATTGCAGCCATAATATTCCAGTACAATCATACGAAACATGATTCCAATAGAAAATGAATGGCCTACATTAATTAGTCTGAGCGCCCATTCAGACCAAAACATAAAGCACGGTGCTCGTCAAGAAAAAATCTATAACATCAGCATATGAAAATTGGGTCAATGCAGATACGAATCGTTAAGAATTCGAAGTGAAAAATACGATGAAAATAACAAAATGGAAGTTGGAAAATCACCGCAGCAATTATTAAGCCAGACTTTTGCATCATTTCCCCACAATTTAGATCTTCTTTTTGTTCTTCACGTTGAAATAGAGTGACATTGTGAAGAGAGAGTGCAGTCTTACCATTGACATCATCGGGCATTTTGCAGGATTCGTTGTACCACTGAGCTTTATCTTGGCAAAGGAACATGAATAAGAAATCGGGCAGAGGCATTCCTTTCTAGTTGGAAGTAAAGGCTGAAGGCATCTGTGTGTTTGGGTGTGTGTTTTGGGGAGGAAAGTGTGTAGAGAAAATTTATTACCATGGTCTTTGCTTGGAAAATGATAATTTCAGTTGAAATACAACTGTCCACTAAGAAAACATGGAGAAATATGTAAAAAAGATTTTGTCATTTTGAACAAGAATCGGAAAGGATATGTTTCATCTGTTTAAGGAAACATAGTAAAAAGAATTGATTTATCATTTACATGAAACTGCCCATCACAGTTCTCAAAATCTATATAAACAATAATAAAGTGACCCGACTCTTTTCAATTTCATCATTACCAAACTGAACTACAAAATAATTTTGGTGCAGTGCAGTTTTCTCATGTCCAATAGTTCATAATGTAAATCATCTCTGGAACACAAACTTAAGGGCAAGCAACATATGTCATCATTTGTATAAACTTTCTGCATAAAACTAATCTGATGTTGAGGAACAAGAAGAAATAACCTGTTCATATTGAAATCTAGTGAACAGTGAATATATGATATCATTTGATTATCTCCCAAATTCCACCACATGAGCGCAAGGCGTTTATGAATACCAATACGAGAAAGAGAAGTACAGAACCACCAAAACTGGAAAGAAGAACGACAAGAACTACACGCACAAAGCAGGGGTACTGAGAAATCATCATATGGTATTTGCTGGTCCACTAATTAGTCGGTAAAGAGTTTCTCCCGTTAGCTTTAATTTTCTCAAACAAATTTTAAAGTACAATGAAGCATCTAGAAAAAATTAAACATTTCACAATGTGATACTTGAACACAAACAGATTAAAAGAACTTATGTTAAAATGCCATACAACGGGATAACAAACGCAACAATGAGCACTATACTAGATAAATCAACCTCCTATAACAAACCATTGTCCTTAAATATCATCTACCAATCTTTCCACTATATTAACTCATTTTCTAACAAAAAGAGCTATGAACAATTAATGATTATATAAACAAAATTAGTATTTGAAAGCAACTAAGCTTTACACTACATACTACCAAGAAATTCAATGCTTTCGTCAGATTTTCGATTCACTTAGGTGGTGCAGTTTACCACTAATTAGCCTGTCAATTTGAGTCTTCAGCAATCAGATGACCCATCAAACTTCCGGCAACATCATCTGCAAAAAGATTCGTGAACAAATTAGGGGTACGAAATTCAATCATAACTCCAAAATCAATTGACAATCAGACAATGTCTACAACATTGTACCCACCTTGCCGGTCGCAGCAGTATCAAGAACTCAGTAAAAATTAGGTTTAATCTCCGTCAACCACAATCCCGGAAAAACAGTCTGCAAAAATCAATAGAACAGAGAAATCAGACGCTACGCGTAAAATCATATATATATATATATATAACCCTATAAAAGAACTAAAAAATTAAATAAGTTACAGAAATCTACTCACATTCACGTCTTTTTGCACAATCTTAGGTCTTCTCTTCGGTCTCCGGGGTGGCCCCCGTCCCACCATCGCCGTGAAATCCTCCGCAATCTCTCTCTTCGAAAGGGATACCGAGAACTTCGCCCTTTTTCTCATCTCTCCACCAGCACTACCACCACCGATATCACAGCCACGCAATATCGGCGATTTGTTGTCAGCCCTCACCGGCGCAGCAAAATTAGGCCCCATCACATCCACCTTGAAAATTTTCCCTCCAGAAGCACAAGCATCGCCGTTCAGAGTCTTACATGCAGCTCGTCTCTTCCTCAAGTTCCACGGCCTCACGGGTTCGGCTGCTGCCGGAATTACCGCCACCGGCGGCTCTTTCTCGAACTTTCCCCTCAAAATCTTATCAGCTTCGTCTCGTAAATCCGACATCAGTTTCGCCCTCACCACTTCGATTCCGTCGTCACCGCCGCTGCTAAATTCCCAACCAAAACCCCTAAACTCCGGCACCACAGAATGCGAAACCATCAAATTTTCCGTCCGGCTCACCGATCCAAGTCTCTCCGTCTCCGAAGCTCCCTGCCTTCCGATAAATCCATTCTCAACCTGAAAAACTGAGGATCGGCGATCGATGCCGGAGTTTTCGCCATTTGAATCAACCTTCATGCACTTCAGATACCTCCGGCTCCCCCACTGCAAACTTGAAGGCAGTGTGAAATTATGCAAAAGCTTCGATCTTTCTGGTCCCATCGCCATCGATTCCCTCTTCATCTCTTCACTTTCACCTGAAATCACCATTCACATGTACGCGCAGAAATACACACACACACTCGATCAAAGATTCAAAGACTCTCGCTGTCTCTGTATCTCTCTATTCGCCTTCCGATAACCTTTTTCCTCGGCAAGTTCGATTTTCTCGGGAAAGTTTTTGAACGAAAATGGTTGCGAGGGTTTTCTTTCTTGGCTATGTCTCTGTGTTTGTGGAATCGCCGGGAACGTAAGCCTTATATACGAGAGGGAGGGGAGTGGGCCGTTTAAACGTTCGGGTCTTATTATCACCAGTGAGAGATGCTAAAGTGCGCAGCAGGTAAAGGGCGCACTTCTTATAGGTTTTTTTTTTTTTTGTTTTTTTCCGGGTGATATCTCTATATCTCATATTCGAGTTATGGTGCTGCCATCTGATCTTGGTGTGTTATGGTATAGCATTTGCTCACAGCCGTTGGATTGTAGTAACATGTCTTCTTGGTCACAAGCAATTTAATTCGAATCTATATACACAAAAAAAAAAAAAACAATCCTATTTGGACCTAATTTATTTTATTTTTGATATTTCAACATATCACAGCAAATCTATCTTGCTCACGTACCGACTAATGCTGATATTTGTACAAAGCCACCTCTCCACACAGTTGGATACTCAAATCACTGATATACTTGACAAGTTTATCAGGTGATTGAGCTACCACTAAACTAAATCTTTGGGGTTTATTTCGACAAAATTTATTGATCTAATTTAGTATAATATTTGAATTAATTATAAGTTTTATTTAACATTTAAAACTCTGTGTTAATTCAACAGTTATAATGAAATTACATCATTTTCATCATATTAGATTAAATTTTTATATCAAATAGCATTATTCTAAAAAACATGAGACATAATGTGTTATCAAAGATAACAAAACACATCAACGGCTTAGATCATTTACAATTTCAATTCTACAACTAATCTTACATCCAAGATAGCTAAACATGGTCTCTAATGTCATATTAGCAAGATAGCTAAGCATGACCTATAATCATCCATTAGGTCATACAATTAGTTATACATGATCCTAATTTATTTAATCAACTATCTTTTAAACATTATCATTTTAAAATCAACAATAACAAAAAATTAGAGACAAATCACATGCCAATTATAATAATTTAATGTATAAACTATATTTAAATAATGTGTTAAGTTTATAAATATATAAATTGAAAAAGAAAATTAGGGTGACTAAAATTGAGAAAAATTATATTAAAGTAGATCTAAATCCTTTAGAGAAGATATATAAGTGGAAATCTCTAATTGGAAACCAAATAGGGAGAATTACACTTAGGTTTTTTGAAGTTTGTTATTTAATTACTTAGACTCATTGATATTTAAAGTATTACACACAGACTTCCTAAAGTTTGTACGTAACACTTAGACCCTTATACAAAAATATTATACTCAGACCTCTTGAAGTTTGTATGCATGTAATATTTAAATCTCTCAAGTTTAAAATATTATATTTATACAAAAAAATACTCCAATAAAAATATTAAATATTTTAAATTTTACAACCTAAATTTATATTCTATTATGTCATTTATTGATATAAAAATTAAAAATAAAAATTTATTTTTTAAGAAAAATTGTAATTAGTATACAATTATACTATCTATTAAAATAAAACTAAAAAAAATAAATAAGAGACCAAACTGTAATGGACACAATATCTTTTATTTTTAATTGGGGTAGTTTGATCGTTTAATAGATAGTATAATTGTATATTAATTATAATTTTTTTGGATTATTTTTGGGCATTGATGTTACATTCGTACAATTTTCAAGAAATTTGTGTGTAATATTTCAAATATCAGAGAACATAAATGAATAAATAACAAACCTCAAAGAATGTGACTCTAATCCTCCCAACAAAATATGTGAAGAATGTTCAACATAAATAAGTACAAGTCAAAGACTTTAATACCATAACGCTATGTCTTTATCTTATTTGTAAAAAGCTATAGTACCAAAAGTTAATTTAGACATTATATCAAAAAATAAATCTAAGTTGTAGATTCTGATTTTAAGTTATTTATGACCAAATATTAACATTAAACAATAAAATAGTAAACCTTTATACATGTTTGAGCTTAGTTTGGATATGACTTGATTTGAGTTTGACTTGTGTTTTAAACGAATTAAGGTTGAATAATTTTTTAGCATCATTTAAAAAGCGAGTCAAAATATATTTGTCTCAAGTTCACAAAATTCGGTTCGTTTATATGTAAAATAGTCAAAATACTCAGTCTTGATTCGAATTTGGCTTATTTTGGATTTGATTAATTTTTTAAATGAGTCAGACTGGAACAATTTTTTATGTTTGTTTAAAAAAATGAGTATAACAGTTTCGATTTAAACTCGCAAAACTCAACTCGATTATCGTCCCAATCAGAGAAGCCTCGAAATCTGCACCAACCCATTTCTCCACCGGTTTACTAGACTATTCAATCCAAGGGTTGTTTGTTTGAGGGATATGAGTGGTATAAATAAAATAGTACGTGGGGCCTAATTTCTACCTTATTTGTTTGACAATTTTTATTCGGTATTATTTTTCGGGTCATAGTATTGACCCGGTGTGAACAGTAACTCTAAGGCCTTGTACATGGTGCTAAGCAATATCACCTACCCGGTGGTATTATATTATTGGTACAAATGAAATGGAGGTATAAGAGAATAAAATGACACAAATACCCTCCAATGTGAAGAGTTCACATATAAAAAATTTATTTTGAATTTTTTTTCTTATATTATATTTAAGCGTACGATGTTACAATTTTTTTTTAAATTTTTTTTCTTATATTATGTTTAAGTGTACAATGTTAACAAATTTTTTTAAAAAAAAATTATTTTAAATTTTTTACTTTTATTATGTTTAAGCGTATGGTGTTAACTGTTTTTTTTAAATTTTTTTTAAAATTTTTTCTTTTATTATGTTTAAGCGTACGGTGTTAACGGTTTGTTTTTTTAAAATTATTTTGATTTTTTTTAATATTATGTTTAAGTGTACGATGTTACCAATATTAAAAAAAAATATTTTTTTGAATTTTTTCCTTGTATTATGTTTAAGTGTACAGTGTTACCGATTTTTTTTAAAAAAAAATTATTTTGAATGGAATGGATGATGTTAAGGAATGAATGATGTTAAGGGTAAAATGGTATATTTGTTATATAAGATGTGAAAGAATAGATGATTATTTGTGGAACCCACTATAATATTTATTGAACAAACAAACAAGAGGAAGGATGAGATAAAAATTTAAGACCGGGTATAATATACCATTGAATAGGAGTGGAACGAAAATAATTTCTAATACCACCCAAATTTAATACTCCAAACAGACAGGCCCAGGTGTATTTGATCTGGTCGAAACAATCTCACTATTCAATGACAAAAATTTCTAATGAATGAATGGATAATGAACCATCCTGCTGTGAATATGCCACCAGTAGGTGTCTAAGCCATTTATTTTATTTTTTGGAGCAATGCTAGAAATCTTAAATTGGGGATTTTAAATAGGAACTTAAATAACTTTAGACCTTTAGATCAGTGAATCTCATAAATTTTTTTCAACGAGACCCACTTATCCAAGAGTCTAAATTCATTTGAGATCCCAAATTTAGGATCTATAGGCCCTGTTTAATTTGTATTTCAAAAATTATTTTTTATTTTTGAAAACAATTTGGTATGTTTATTTATTTTTATTTTTTTTGAAAATTGAAAATAAAAACTTGATAAATTTAAAAATCTTTTTAAAAATAATTTTCGAATACTATTTTTTGAGACACAAATCAATTTAAATGGGATCATAATGTTTTTTTTTTTTTTCGTTTCTTATGATCTTTCTAAGCCGCCTCGTTGCTTGATTACAAAGTAATAGGCTTTAGATCAGCCAACTTGGAAATATTCCTTTAAACAACTCAAATCTCCCGACAAATTATCAATAAGTATGGTTTTTTTTTGTAAATATTCATTAAGTTTTATTATTTTATTTTAAATCAATGAAATCCTGTTTTTAATATTTTATTTCAATGAAGTTCTGTCATTATATTTTAATTTTACCGTTAACTTTTAATTACTAACCCTTAATTCTTTTTCATTCTTTCTGGTATGTCACACCTCCGACAACGCATTTTCGATTGTCATTTGTTTCCTTGCTCAACAACGGTGAAGTGTTTTTTTTTTTTTTTTTTTTTTGGGGTTTTTGG